GGTGGTCATGAACTTTTAAATTTCATAACATGGCCTCGATTGTTGCCACGTTACTTGATGCCGGTACTCAAGCTTGAAAAAGAAAAAGAAAGCATTAGACGATGTAATTTTAAAGCCAATAATGATTCTTTTTTTAACATCTTTTTGTTTTGATATATTATTTGTCGTAATCTATAAAATGTTACACAGCACAGCATAAACTTGTGGGTATGTTAATTTAGTGCACAAGAACGGATTTTTCGAAATTCAACCCTCAAGAAAGTTTATTTTTACCCTTTTTAAATATTGTATTCCTTAAACTTACAAAGATGAAACTTAGTATAAATATTTTACAATGCAAATAATTAAAAGACATGACAATTTACATGTCAATCAATACTGCCTTTAAATAGTAGTGAAATGGGATATTGAAATTTGAGTGGTATTTTTTTAACGCGTGGTGTGATTTGCTTGAAACTTGGTTTGCATATTTTAAATATAAAATTAATAGACACGCGCTTCTGGGTTTTACAAAACAACCCTTAAACAGACTTAAGTTAGAGTATTAAAATATATAATGCATATAAAAATTTTACGCGGACGAAAACGCGGGCAACAGCTTGTATATTATAGATACTAGTTACTTTCATTAAATAAATAGAAATAATTCGTCAAGACCACCTCTAGCATTCGGCTTGGGAAAACAAACCATAAATTGGGAGATTTAAAAAGCTTTTATCTCTTTGTTTGCTGGTTGTTTGGCGTAGCACGGGCGAATATAAAGCTGCGATAAAATATCATCGATGTACGCAATCTAGGTGTTATGTTACCGTTTTTACAAGTTTTGAGGTTTAATTGAAACAGCTTACTCTTCTTCCATAAAAAATAACATTATCATCTTCCAGCCGTTATACCATTACTTAGGGTCTGCGCAATATACCTTCTTCCTTCGTCTCTATAACCTTTCACCTTGTAGCGTTTTCAGTAGATAGGCACCAAGAAGTAGTCAACATTGCACAATTTAAGCAGTTTATTGATAGTCACTTGAAGCGGGTACTCAAGTAAATGCACAGGATCATAGGTATATGACACCGTTAGTTAAATTCAGCGATATTAGCAGAAGCCAGTAGATACAACCCCAAGCAAGCGGCGTCACGCTTTTCACTTCGAAGATCTGGACGAACTGGCTGCCGGTGTACAGGAATGCATTGTGCCAGTTTAGTTTTAATTTTAATTACAGTTACTTAGTTTTTATTCTTATTTGTTACATGTATATACATTATTTATATGTATGAGTATATAGTTTAAGTTACATAATTATTACAATATTAAGTTTTAGTGTTAGATTAGGTACTATAGTATCGGCACGTGATGGCCGTTTTGACGTTTGTCCGCTCATCAAGTTTCGTATTAATTCATTGTCTACGTTAAAGGAACTTAGTGACGTGCAGTAAAATTTATGCATGTATAATTTTACGACACAACTCGGCATTTGTTTTTCGAAATTCGAAATTATTTTAAATAAAACCTAATACAATCGTCACTTATGGGATCGCTGGCCAGCGCAACTTCTACCTCCGGCAAACTCGCGTCAAAGCAAAACGAAGCAGTTTCGAATTAACGAAATATTAAGTAAACATTTTTATTTTTATTTTATTAAAACATTTTAATCAGCTACCCTTTGCAATAGTAGTCATCATAAAATATGAATTGAGATTTGACTTCACTATGTAATCTGTCAAAACGGCCATGATGTACCGGTACTGTAATTATATTTAAGGTCATTTACAGGTACAGTTCGCAGCCTGCCACAACCTCGTTGTTTCATCATCATCATCAAAGTTCGGCGCCAATTTCAGTTGTTTGCGTCCCCCATCGAGTATATTTCTGGTTATATACTCGATGGCGTCCCCGGACGGTGTCCGCACGAACCATGCCCGCAACTCCCCCATGCCTCGAGCTCTTGCCCCGGTCAATACTTTCCTGGACGAGGTCCGTGATACCGATGGTGCTTACCGACAAATTACCGAAACTAATATGTAATTTTGACATTTTCTTGAATACTAGTAACTTATTAATCATTACTATTCTCATTGATTTATTTTCTTTCTTTCTTATTGTTCAATAGAAAATCACCGTGAGACTCAGACATATTAACTAAAGTTTAACTCAAATTTTTTTTTTTTGCAATCCTGCGTATGACGTTAATGAAAATGAAGCAAACGAGGGCAGTTTCTCCCCGACGCCGCCTGCGCCCGCAACTGTACTGAGCGATCGGGCTGCCAGGACTCTGGCGCGCAGGACCAGGACTCTGCCGAGTCACCGCCGCGGAATCTCATGATTAAGGACCACGAATTTGTTCGGAACATGTCGAGCAAAAATTCGACTTAAATACGTGGATTATCCGTTATTTCAGTTAATCAATCCTATTGTTCACATTATAATCTTATGTATTGACTTAAGATCATTGACTTGTACTTCTGACTAACATTGTAAGTGCTGTGGGTGACACTGTAACGTCACAATGTATATTTTTGAATAAATAAATTAACTCATTTTTTAGATCTCACTTGCTGGGCATAGGTCTCCTCTCAGACGACGGCTTTAGGTCATAGTCCGCCACGTTGGCCCAATGCGGGGTGGGGACTTCATGTGTTTTGCGAGGGTCGTGAGTCTTCTCCGACGTGCATCACGATGTTTCATCGAGCATATAACCAGAAATAGAGATGAAATGTCATTTAATTTGTTTGAAAACTATTCGACCAAATCATTACGGTGACAATTGCGCTCCGATTGGTCAGCCCGAATTCGAAACAATTGACGGGTGTCGTCAATTGTTTCACTTCAAATCGACCAGTTTAACTTGGACTTTGCTATAATGGACGAAAATTGAAAAATTACGTATTTAATTTTTAATTACCGATGAAATGTGATTCCGTTTGTTTTGTATTTAGATGTCTTGCTGTTTTTCCCACACTACCAAGTGGAACAGCCCTCCATAGTTAGAGATATTGTCCTTATTACAATAAATACAGAATATTTTTGAAAAGACGTACACACAGGTCAGTTGTTGGCGCTGTACTTTTTCAGCTTTCTAATTTGTTCTAAATTTCAGTTCAAACGAGATTTGATATTTAAAAGTGATATAAGGCCCATTTGCCTGATGAGTTGCCAGGTATGGATGGCTCTTATTTCGTATCTATTTCTGGTTATATACTCGATGCGATGTGTGCTTTCACCGAAAAGGTCATGGTAAATTTCAAATTATATTTCTCACATAAATTCTGAAAAACTTATTGGTGTGCTGATGCTAAAGTTAATAATAAAGACAGACGGTTTAAAACGAATTCAAAGGCCAAAATTAATTAACTCTACATATATTTTAAGAATATGTCAACAACAGGTCGGCTGTTTCTCACAAATTAATTATACCTGTACGACTAAAACTTGCGTAATTGTCAATTGATTTTTTCGTTAATGCCTTCATTAAAGTTGTTTGGTCCCGTACTTTTTAACTTCCTTCTTAGGAGGAGTAAACTGCAATCGGAAAAGCACTTAACGTCCAATGTACTCGTGTAGTGTAGACTAAATATGATTCAAGCTTCAGGTTCAAGCAAGGATACCCTCAGTTTTGTATGAAAATTGTATTTTCCTAGATACCATACGGTCATGTGGTATCATATGGTATAAAATTTGAATGTGACTTTGTCATTATAATGGGCGTAGTGTCTGTATTTGGGTCTGAACGATTTTCCATATAATTTACATTTTGATGCACACAGAGCTTCAGGTTTAACCCTTTTGAGTTTGACCTCTCAATAAAGAATAAGTCAGTTAACGGGCACCCTTTTTCAATTTCAAAACATAAGTACTCTAATAAACAATTCAGGAAATAATAAAAAGATTCCTATCACTAAACTTTTAATCCACAAACACCTTTTCACGTGCCTAACCCGTGTGCCAGGCAATAATAACTTGAAAAAGTATTAAGTCCCAGATTTGAAGAACAAAAAGCGACGATAACACAGGCGACGTCGTTTAACGTTATGACCCAACTTCTAACGAGCTGCCGTAAAGCCGATATTTACTTTCTTCACCTCGGCGGAGGGTCTCAAGGTAAAAATGTAGTGCACGGGCGGCGTCGTAAAATGTTATGTTTCGAACTCTTTGCGAGGTCTGTTGCCTTGGTCCATATTTTCGATTTGAAATGTAAGAAATACCAGGCAAGCAGAAAATAAAACCAATTATCTAATAACGCAGCAGAGACGGTACAGCTAACAACACGCTTGGATTACTACTTTACACTTAGTTTAGAAAGTTTAGACTTTGGTTGATTGCCGTTACTAGTTATACTCTACACAGTTGCCTTTTTAAACAAAATATCTGAACGAAACTGTATTTTTTTGTTTAATCACTTTTAATCGCTCGCTGTTCCATGGCACGAAAATAAAACAACTCTTTCATAACTTGTTTATGTTGACGGCAAAGATAACCGGTTAAAATTTAAAGATGGATTATTGAAGATAAGATCGTACTTTAGAAGCGGTGTATTCATTATTTCGCGGTTTGATTAATTACGAGAATGAAAAGTAATCACTGTAATTAATCATTTGATCTTAAACTAGAAAACTCCCTGCATTAAAATTTCGATAGCAAGATTACGTGCCTCCGTGACCTAACGGTTACCATGCTGTTTTGATTCCCGGGCTGGGAGAAATATTAGTACAGCCTAAATTTTTTTCTCAATACCCATTGACGGGACGACCAAGTCGTTCACCTGGTGGTAAGCGACTCGCCTATCCATAACAGTTGCAGTGCCACTTAGAGCTTTTAATCGCAAAGATCTGAGAGGTCCTTTCACTGCGCCTGTCACCCTGAGATATAAGTTGGTTCGTTCCGCCACTTGATATCATAAAAAAAACAAGTAAGAAATAACTATAATAGTTTCATCTAAATATTTAATCATAATAGTTTGTTTAATGTGCAGTAAACAAAAAATCTGTGTTTTGTCCACAGGTACAGTGAACACACTGAAATCCCTCCAAATACACGTCCCACAAGCGGTACTGACGGGGCGAGATGCAGAACTCATGTGTTCATACGAACTCGAAGGTGCGCAGCTGTATTCTATTCGATGGTACCGTAACATGATCGAGTTCTATCGATACGTACCGAAAGAATCGCCGGCGACGAAGGTCTTTCCGGTTGCGGAAATAAAGGTTGATGTAAGTATTTCAAAACTTTATCTTAAACATAGGTATAAAATTTTTACAATTACGCATTTCAGGATCAGGTAGTATAGAGATGATACAAAACTATTCGAAGTCACGTGGTTCCTTCGCATTTCAAGATCCGTGTCTGGCAGTGGCATGTTGGGTTGATGATGATTCTAGCAATGAGACAAAGAAACGAGATGCAATTAGTAATTAACCTCAAAATTAATCTACGAAACATAGTACTTCCTTCTTTGGCTTCTTCTTTCCTTCCTTTTGGCTTCGTAGCCAAGTGAAAAGAGCACTTTCCGATACGTTTTATTCGCTTGGTTTCTCTTTACTTTGTTTCCTTGTATGTAATATAACATCAATTATTAGTATAATTCAACTGCCTCTGTAGCCGAACGGTTACCATTCCGGTCTGCCACGCAGAGGTCCCAGGTTCGATTCCTGGGCCGGGAGAAATATTTGTATGGTTACATTTATTTCTCTCGTGAGTTTGGGTGTAATTTGTGGTTGTCTATGTGTGTGTCCATGGTACCCGCGACACAGGGTTCCCCTAGTGCTATGTTGAGTGTGTGCGTTATTATTATTATTTATTATTATGACTACCTCAGTAGTATAATATGATGCAAAGTAGGTAATATGTGCTATGTGAGATTTTTTTCTTTAACTTCGTAGCCTGAGAAAAGCGCACTTTCCGAAAGAATATTTTTTGCTTATTTTTCACTAGTGTCCTCTGTACCCGATTCCTCCTTTACATTTAAAATAGCTTTGACTTTACAACACCAAGTTAAGACGACTATCTCAAAGATTGTACCTAAGTCGGCAAAAGTAATATGTTTTATATGAGAAAATTTCAAACATCACTGAGACAATTTTACGGGGAAACTTTAAAGCGGTGCCGTAATATTGCTTATGGCTAAAGCCGATTATGTCTCGGCGCGCAATGTGAGCGCAAGATACGTACCCACTAATTTCATGGTTTACCTTATGTGATAAAAATAAAGCTAAAAAGGAAAGCACTCCCTTTGCAAGAAAATATTAAATTGTTTTCACAAGTCTTACGTAACTTGCTATCCGGATACTCGTATATAATACAAAATATATTCGATTGCTTACTGCGATTTTTTTCATGGTTTGCAATAATGGAAATCGATACCTCCAATGAACCTTTTTTTTTCTATTTTTGTTGACCCGGGGGAATCTGCTTACAAATATCCCGGCCCCGCGGGCGCAGAGCCGGGATTATGTGAGACTGGGCTGAACCAGAAGGTGAGCAGCCCGACCGCGCTAGCCCCCGGAATGTTCCTCCTCTTTGCTGTAGGTGGACGCTATTGCACTCGTCCGTCAGTCCGTCCCAACCAGCGGCTGGCCGCAACCTGCAGACACATCGGTCCTCCGACTCCAAATGTGAAGCTCGCCACCAGACGAGCCTTCCATCCCGGGCCTCTCCATAGGGAAACTTTATTTTTTGGTCATTTTCTATTATTTTTGTAAACAACCATATTTATTTACTATTATTATGCTCCCCAAATTTTGTAAAAAAAAAGAAACACAAAACAAAATTCGAAAAAACAAAAAACTAACTTTGTGAAAAGAATAAACAAAAAACAAAATAAAAACAGATAGAATCCAAAAATTAAGTTGATGGAATATTCATTGGAGCTATTGATATAGAATATGGAAGTAAATAAGGAAGGACACTGCGTCCACAAAGCTGGCAATGTTTTTTCTTTGGGTGGCTATGCTTATTCTTTGGTGGAAGTAGCTGCCACCTCGTAGCTCGCCGGTGGCTTCAACTAAGCGCACCGAAAGGTCCTTAATGAGATATCCACTGCAAAAAGCACAAAGCTATGCTCTGCACCACAGCTGTGCACTGGCTGAAGTGGCCATATTTAACTCGTTAGCGGTTCTCGGCTACTCAGGCAGCGGCAGGCAGGGGAACCCGCGCCACCCATACCTGCCAGCACATACGAAGCCTCAGTATCCATATAGATCGTATCCCGCATTACATGTCTATCCAGTTCCTAAGGATGAAAAACGAAGACAAAAAATATATAAATTCTTAATGTTTGTACTTTATTTTTGTATTTTTAGTCATTTGAGAAAACTGGTAACGAATCAGAATTAGAGTTAAAAAATCAAGTTTCCCTTTATAAGTTTAGTTTGTCTGGCACATAGCTTAGGGATTCCTGTAATGGTCAGGTACTCTTATTTTGTCATTTTTCCAGGTGGCTTCGTCAGATCAGAACCGCGTGGTCCTGCGGGAGGTGGATAGGACATTAACAGGGGAATATCAGTGCGAAGTGTCGGCTGACGCGCCTCTGTTCCACACAGACATTAAAGCCGGCGAAATGGTGGTTGTAGGTAAGTTGTGACAGTCATAAGGTCCTTTTTCAGAAGTTCTTAACACAATTTTTTTATAATATCTAGTGACGGGACGAACAAGTCGTGGTAGGTAGGTAGCCTCATGGTAGGCTATACGCCTGTACATGACAGCAAAAATCTGAGGGGCTCTGCTACTGCGCCTGTCATTTACGAAGTAACTATTAAGTAATCTGTGCCGTCACCCTGAGACATAAGTTTACAAGTCCCATGTGCCTGTACTTTCACCAGCACCCTTACCCTTCAAAACCGGAACACAGTAATGACTTACTGTTACTAATGACTTACTGTTACTAATGACTTACTTGTTTGGCGGCAGAAATATGTAAGACAAACTTACTAATACAAATGACGTCACGTGTTTGTAGCTATAGTGCTGTTTTCGTGGCATTTTATTTTTAATTACATTTTGTTTCAATTGCTAACAAATGAGCAATGGAATAATGGATGGTATCTCTATCTTCTAAATAGCGACTTTAAAAACGACTACATTCTTATTCTTTACGATCTTTCTTTGGATCGAAAATGTCCAACATTTGGTCCTGAAATTAGATTCCATTTTTTATCTGTTCCCGTGTGAAAAATGTAGAACACTCCAAGCTAGCCCATCTACATAAACAATTACTTCACCGGAAGAGATACGGGGTTAATGAGTTGTGCGTCGGAAACTTTTTGTATTTTCTTTTAATTTACTGACATTTTTTTGCGAAATCTGTTTTGGCTTTGTTTTAAGGGCTGTTTGTAAATTGGATTTGTTAAGCTTTTTGCATACTGGAGTACACTTTTGTGAGTGTAA